TTTCACAAGAACAGTATTAAGCAATTAGTTACTTTCATTCTCCTTTCGATCATTAAACCTGCATGCTTAAGAAAGCTTTTCAGGGGCATTCGTCACCTGTGTGACAGCTCTTGTAATTTGTCTTATTGATGTAGGACAAATAATTAAAAAACACTTGAAAAAATTAATAAACTATTGCATTCTCCCTTTGTGCAAAATTATTAGCTGAAATGCATGTTTTCTGACCAGCGCGTGTCGGGGCTATTCGGCACTTGTGAAAATTTCTATTTTCAATTGACAAAAACCCAGCGGTCAGGTCTCTGTCGACTTATACCTACGGTGACTTCGAGATTACATTTCTTCTTATGACTTGAAATGATTGTGATAACAACTTTATTTACTTTAAGAGTAATCAATGTCCTACCATTTGGTACCAAGATTATGAAAATTGTTGAAAAAAATGTTGGAGTTATGGAGTTCATATTAAGATGAGTGCTGGAAAATGAGCTGCGAGTTGCATAGCTTTACTAAATACATGTGTATTATATATATCATTTTTTTTCTATTTTGTGAGAAATAAAGGAAATTGAATTAAAAGCATATACCAAATATTAAAACATGTTTCAAATTAAAACTACTGCAGTTTATATGGTTTTGAGAGGTAAGAGGGTTGTAAAGTGGTTGAGGGGGCCGGGGGTACTGACCAATCCACGTGCCGAACACCTATGGTTGTCACAATATCATATCCCAGGAAAAGTGACCAATAAACGAACATCTTAATATGGTATTTCTATCACTTTCCCATTCTCTGTCGTTGCATTAAGTAACCCCCCCCCAAAAAAAAGTGCCAATCAATGGGCATGCTTTGGAGTGCGGGTTAGCTTTACCTGGACTCCAGTTAACATACTGTACATGTATATGTATAGGATTTAACGCAGACACATTTTCAACAGAAAAGTCCCCAAACTATGATACAAAAAATAGTTTTATTTATGCTTGTCTTGAGTATAATCATATTTTTTATAATGCTTGTCCGGGGTATAACCTTCTATCTGCAAATAATATCACTTATACTGCGGTATACCGTACCCCGGATATTGCTCGATATTATGAGGTAAGTTCAGCGACGATATTTTCCAAACTAATGGCTATTTCATTTATCTCAACGGGTTATATATATATATATTTTATATATATATATATATATATATATATATATATATATATATATATATATATATATATATATATATATATATATATATATATATATATATATATATATATATATATATATATAAACGTATTTATCTCAACGGGTTATATATATATATATATATATATAGACGTATTTTTTGTAGCTCTAAAAGACGTATAAGTATTACAGGTATTTGTAATATTCACAGTCCAAGTATGCATTGTCCAGTTTTTCTTTTAAGGAAGTATTTGCACAAAAACACCAAATTTGACTGATCCGAGCTCATTTATTACGTGTGCAAAGAGACGAATTCTACCTCCTAATTACATTTCAAAGCTTTTTCTCAACATTTTTGGGTTTCATCAACTAGAGAAATTATCGAAATATTTGTTTTTCTATGTAATTTATATCAAACCAATTCAAAATGAAATAATATCGTCACTGAACTTACCTTCTTTCCTCGTTCAAAGTCGCGAAATGGGATGAAAGTCATATCATCGAGCAATATCCGGGGTACGGTATACCGCAGTGACTAAGTGACAATTCATATATTTATAGAGACTTAAACGGGAAAGTGTGGTGTCATAGGGTTGTAAATCTAAATTACTTAGTCTTTTTATTTTCATTTTCTCCTTCTCCTTCGTATTTAAATATCATGCGTAATAAAAACACTTAATAATGCCTTTTACAATTTAGCTGAATTGATCCAACATGACTAACATTATTCATATTGATTATTCAGTTAAAAATTTCTTCTCATTTAATCTGAACTAAGGTGTCTTGTCTATTGTATCAAGGTCACTATGACTAAAAGTATTTTACAATTTAGCTGATCCAATTTAAATTAATTAATTGATGTCGTTTAAATTAACTTTCAAGATTTCAAGACATCTTAGGTAAACCTCTTACTTAAAATAAATCAAGAGGGCACAAAGGTAAATGTAATGTTTTTCACGTTTACCCCTACTGCCTTTATTAATAGACTGGTGTGCAAGTGACAATTCTAACACTCCACGTGATTTTGTCACTATGGACGCGGTGTCAAACTGCCAACAAACACTGGTTAGGGACTACTTGTATATGCGGCTGTTATGTTTTCACCCTCGATTATATTGTTTACCAAGCCTTTTAAAGAAACAATAAAAAGCATTTTTATTAATATTGTCAGTTCTTATAATGTTTATTTTTCATACAATACCGAAATAATATCTTACATACACAATTTACAATGATATAAGAACTGTTGTTTTTGGAAATGTTATTTCAAACAATTTATTTAATACAATGACAGACAATGAAAAACTAGTTTACCTCGTAAACAACCATCAAAATAAAGTTATTAAATTTATTGTACAAGCATATCTGTTAAGGAGAGATTTATTGTATAATAGATCATGATTAATTAAAATTGAACTGTCCGTAAATGCATAACATGTATTGATATGAATTTACTATTATGTTAATAACATGTTAAAAACTATAACACATGCTCAGAATATGTTATTTTGTTAAGGTGACTTATAGGTCCTATGGGCCGGGTGTTTATCTTTGTGTATTTATGTGTATGTATATACGTATAACACATGTCACTATAATAAAGAATTTACTTACTTACTTACTTACTTACACTAACGCCACATATTTGATTCATATGAGTTAATAAATATATAAAAAGCAGCGTAATGACGTCATCCTAAGTAAACAAATCATTCATAAACAAGCTGACGTTATTTCATACAAACAAGTACGATAAATGGGGCACTGATGTAAACACAATACGACGTAAGTTATTATTGTTGAAAACTTGATAAAATAACGTTGTTTTTTTTCTTATTATTTCTTTTGTTTAATAATTTCTATATCTTCGCATCATTAGGGTGCTAAAGCGTTATACGAAAATCGGCACCGGAAGTTATTTCCGCTTGAAAAAATAACATTAGTGACCTTCCGTCTTTCATCGTGTTAAAATCGAAAGAACATCGGCCTGAGAGGTGTATATCGGCTATTTAACACCGGTTTTGTCTTTTTAATGCGAAAAAAATAACCACTCAGGCCTACGGCCTTCGTGGTCAATTCCTACGCATCAAAACTCCAAACCGGTGTTAAATAGCCGATATACAAATCTCAGGCCAATGTTATTTTTAAGTGACAAATGTGCTTGTTGGCAGAACAGCAATCGCCTTTAGCTATAATTATCCTTTCCATGTTAGTCAATATTACAAAATTATCCTCAAGACAGGGTCATTTATTACAAAATTGGCAGTCGATGTATGATAGATTGATAGAGGTTTACTATTATTATTATTTAGGATATGTTGTTTCACAGAATGAGTTGTGCGCTGCATTTCCCTTTAAAAACTCCCTGTTAAGTATGTGACCAAAACTCACAGGCAAATTTTTAACGACACGATGATCTATAAATTTAACATTTCTAGAAAACGAGAAGTCGGTGCTACTTGTCAAATATAAATGTAGTTTTAATGAAGATATGTTAGATCACGGATTTATATTAATTTAAATCCGTGGTTAGATGTATTCATACATTTCTCTACAATTTACCTTTCGTCAAAAATGGAGATGATTCAAAACGGATCAATATAGAGTTAGATTCTCTGACACTGTAATTTTTGTCACTTGTCTCTGCAATTAGTTGAAATTTAATTGAACAAATCATAGATAAATGAGAAGTTATTACTTGCCCAAGCGTTTTACTTTATGGATACGTATATATGGATTATATATATGGATTATATATATATATATATATATATATATATATATATATATATATATATATATATATATATATATATATATATATATATATATATATATATATATATATATATATATATATATATATATATATATATATATAGGAATGTAGACCTAAAAGTTACACCTTTTTCTCACTTTTATTCAAAATTTCATAGTAGTTTTACGGACCTTTTTTATTTTAAATATAATTCAGAACCTGTTAGATATGTGAAGATGATTAATTAAAGAAATAGAACTTTGTCGTCTGCAAATATATTGTTCAAAAGTATTGATTTACCTGGAATTGGGTGTTATTGAACATGGCCATTTAAACTAGAACCTCAGGTGGTTTTTACTTGTTTATGTAGCATGTTTTCTAAGATAGCTTTAAACAACAGACAAAACTTTAAAACATATAAATCGCTGTATTATTTTAACTGCTGTGTTGCATAGAAAACAAATGTCTCTCTGATTTAATGAAGTAACATAGATGCCATACTGGTAAAAATAGACCGTACTGGAGGAAAATTATAAAGGGCCGGAAAACTGCTAGGGGCCAGAAACTGCTAGGTAACTAGTAGAACATCTTTAATTTCATTAATCTATAGATCTAAAAATATTTCAATCTTAAGTTTAAATCAGTATGCCGGTCCTTTATATTTGATGAACAAGAAACAAACTAATACATATTAAAAAATATCCGAAGAATCATGAAAACACGCTAATGTAATTTCACAGTAATTGTTTCTGTTTTGATATTCTATGGTTGTATCAAATATATCGAACATGGATAACCATAAAATATTCAAGGAATTCCGGAAGTCAAAGGCAAAACAACCTTCGACAGAGGTGTAGTATTTCTATGCATACCAACTATTAAGGAACAGCAATTATTTGAAACTGAATTATTTGATATTTCTATTAAACACTCCACAGATCTAAATGATCGGAAAAGCAGAAAAAATAATATAAACACTGTCCACGGCTTCCCAATCCTTACTTTTAGAACGTTGATTAATCGATTTTCTAATTACTCAAATAATTTGAATGGTTTATTTATTAATAGATGTGGCTATGACAAACATGTGACAAATCAAGAAGACTAAAATGGCATCTGGAGGTTCAGAAAATCGGATAAATCTATTCCGTTTGCAAATTCTAATAATAGATGGAGGCCTGCTTGTATTGAGAAGTATACATGATCAGACCATAACTGCCAAAGGCCTAACTCTAAGGGCATGTCTTAATAATGAAAGGAAAACAATTACACGATTGCATGGCCGCAACGTTATCACCCAGGATCAATATGACATTTTGTTTCCAGCGAGGGGTCAAGACCCAACTACGGCAAATATGGACATTACGCTTATCATTTGCCTTCTTGAAAACCTTAAATGTTTCGGATTGAATAAGAAATTTAAATGGAATGCAACACCTGCATCAACAGATTTATCAGTTGAGGCAGATATATGTCGTTTGAGAAATTTCCGGAATCAAGTAAGTATGATATGACAAAAGTTGTTGATATATTTGTATGAAATCTTTTGTGTAAACATGCAAAAGAAGCTGACAGCTGAACACCTCTCATACAACCCTATTTGACAGCATGTACGTACATGTTTTTTTAAGACAAGGACATAAAATCAATTATCCATTACTTTGTGGTATTTGTGGATTGCATGCAATGATGATAAGAAATCATAAACACCTCTAATACTTAAATGTTATTGACCTGAACGTTATAAGTTGATTGATGTTATTTATTAGACTTTCATTTTATTTTAAGTATAAATATATTTTTTAGCAATATTGTTGTTTTTATTTTATCATATATTTTGTGTCAACAATAATTTGTATACCCTAATACCTACAAAGTGAAGTTTGCACAATCCCCATTTCACATAAATTTAAAGAATGGTATCAATACATTTCGACTGAACCTGTTCCAGTCTTGTATACCAGCGGGGCTTTTTTCTGCATTACTGATAATTGAGTATTTATTTCAGATCTGTCATATGTCAACAACTACTGGAATAGAACAAAATGAGTTTACAACTTTGTGGAATGAAATCGAGCAGGTAAGCGCATAGGGTTTAAAACGTTGTTTCTCTCCTCTTAAAAACAATTCTAATGTATTCCTTTGAAAATTCTACAGAGTTTTATTTTAATTTACTTTATTCCTTTAATCAGAAAAAAAATGTTTTTACTGTTTATGGTATTTACTAGCTTTCGGGGTGAACTTTAATTGTATCAACTTAATTTATTTACATCATATGAGTATTTTCTAAAATATTCTTATAGATTTGTGAAAAAAATTATGTCATGAAGTATGTCATTAAAATTAGTTTGTGTCAAGGTTGTATTTATGAATATGGTTTTTTCTTCATTTTCTTCACCAAACTTATTATAAAAAATAAGTGCTCTCTTCATATGTAAATCATCTTCAAATAGTAAACGATGAAGCAGTAATATAATACAAATAAACAAAAACAATAACTTGAAGATAAAATTGAAAACCGGTATAAAAACAAATGCTAATTCATAATTCCAATCATATTCGGTTTTTAGATACTTATTCGACGAAGCACTCCTGGTCTTAAAATGCATCAAACAATTGCCGATTTCAAGTCGTGTTCCCTTGATCTAGAGGAAGAAAGAAGGATAAAGGAAGAAATAAAGAAGTGGAAGGACTATGAAGCAGGTGTTGATCGGCTGAAACAGGAAATGGGAGACGTAAAAGAAAATGTTACAAAAGCAAACACAGACCTTGATGACGTAAAAAGAAATGTTATGACTGTACAGGAAGACCTTGATGACGTGAAAGAAAATGTTACTGAAGTTAAGAGTGACCTTGATGACATGAAAGAATATTTTACTGAAGTAAAGAGTGACATGAATGACGTGAAAGAAAATGTAACTGCAGTGAAAGGTCACCTTGATGACGTGAAAGAAAATGTTGCTGAAGTAAAAAGTGACCTTGATGACGTGAACGAAAGTGTTACTGAAGTGAAGGGTCACCTTGATGACGTGAAAGAAAATGTTGCTGAAGTAAAGAGCGACCTTGATGTCGTAAAAGGAAATATTACTGAAGTAAAGGGTGACCTTGATGACCTGAAAGAAAATGTTACTGAAGTGAAGAAAGACCTTGATGTCGTGAAAGAAAATGTTACTGAAGTAAAGAGTGACCTTGATGTCATGCAAGAAAATGTTACTGAAGTAAGGATTGGCTTTGTTGACGTAAAAGGAAATGTAATAAAAGTACAGAAAGGCCTTGAAGTATTCAAAAGACGACAACTTACAGGTGGGTTATTTCATGAATTTATGTAGAAATAAGTACAAGAATACAAAGCGCTTATAATACATGTATATAATTTATTATAAAAAAACTTGTGTTCGTCTATCCTGCATCTTTGACAGCACACTTCCATAGAACGAAACTGATTGGAAATAAATTTTATTTAAAAGATATCGTTCCATTAATCAAACTCTTTTATTATCTCAAATTTCTTATCAGCATCAACTTAACATATAATTCTAGATCTATTTTGTTCAATTAGCGTAGATCAATAAATTTATACAATATGTACAATGTAAATTTGTGTTTGTTAAGTCATGGATCTGACTAAAACTAACCTATTATAAAAGATAGAGGAAAACTAGTATTAACTTATCTGTCATGTTCACATTAAGTCAACATTAATTCAGTTTGATCTGCTTATACTTAAAGATAACCTTTACTTAAACAAGAGCCACCACCGGTCGGGGCAACGCTAGACTTTTTTCCTATTTCAAAAAGTAAACAAATTAACAATTCCTACAAGAAAATAAGAGAAAGAAAAAAGTTTTCGTTCTTTTACTTGGTCTGTTAAGTCTGTCCAAGTATGAATCCATTCCATAAAAGATGACAAACTTGAGAAAACATAATAGAAATTCAACCATTTGAAGGGCAATGTAATTTAAAAGTCAAGGTCATATCTTGTTTTCGTATGCCTGTTTGGTCACAAGTATTGTTTTGTCCTTATAAGAATCAAAACAGTGCATAATTAACAAAAATTTCATTTCTTTGATTCTTGACAGTCAAGGTCATTCAAAGCTCAAGGTCAAAGTCATTTCAACCTTTTAGAATGTCTTGTCCAAAAGGTTGTTTTTTCCAAGTATGGAAGTAATCCATTGATTGATTACAAAGTTACAGCCAATTGAGAGTCCTGATGGCCCTGAAATCGCTCATCTAAATATAAAAACCCTACATGACAAGAAACAAGACTTTAGTAATACTTTAAACTATAAACAAAAGTAGATGTAAAATCTAAATCTTAAAATAATATAACAAAGTTCATATTTGCATCTGAAAAAGTGCATGTTAAAAACTATACAAGCTGCTAAAGTTGCTATAGTTTCAAAAGATTTGTACATATAAGGAAAATAAACGAACCTCTGGGGCAGGGACAATTTTGACGCAATGGTTATTATTTGAACAAACTTGGTAAACACCCACTTGAAGATGTTTCATGCTAATGTGGATATTTCAACAGAAGATTTTTAAGCTATTACTATACTAACATTGAGGAAATAAATGACCCAGGGCAGGGCAAATTTTGACCCAGGGCTTTTATTTCAACAAATTTGGTAGACATTTACTTGAAGATGCACTATAATTAATATCTAAGCTCTAGCTCTTTTGGTTTCTTAAAGAATGTTTTTTTAAGGTTTCACAAAGGACATATAAGCAAAATCATTGACTCCCGTGGTGGGGCCACTTTTGGCCCAACAACTTGGTAGACACTCATTATAAGATGTTTCATACCAAATATCTAAGTTCTAGCTGTTTGGGTTTGTTAAAATAAGATTTTTTTCTTCCTGTTGCCAAAACAACCAGAGTTCTGCTTGGAATTAAATTCTTTGAACAATTTTCAAAGGTTATCACCAAAGGAACATTCCTGAGAAGTTTGGATAAAATTGGCTACGTGGTTTATGAGGAGATGTCGTTTGAAGTGAAAGTTGACGGACGGACGGAAAAACGTCGAGTTAAAAATGGCAAATAATTATTTATCTACCGAACTTTATAAGCTCCGATCATCATGAAGGATTTGAGTTTTTTAAGTTAAATTTTACATAAATGGATACTGACCGTATTGTCTGTATATGATAATAATCAATTTAATATCTAATATAATATAGATTGATTACTAGGGTTTCTTTCTTAAACAGAGGGAGGTAGCAGAGAAGACTTTCCAATACAGACAGAGGAGGAAAAATATCACACTAGCAAGAACGGTAAGTTAATGGTGTTGTACGTAAAGGTTTGAAGTATCGTCCAGAGGCAGAATATTGAAATAATGGAAGTCACTGTTTAAAAAACACATACTTTCTAATTTATAATATATGAATATTCTTATAGACAATTATTGACAACTGTTTTCTGTCTTGGTCGATGCAATGCTAGAGGGCATGATCGGTTGCTTGCAGTTACCACTTCCGTCCATGAACAGGCTAAATCAAACCAAGCCTGCAACATTTTCATGTCCACTATGTTTGATTTTCTTTAAAGATTCTGTTATTCTCAAATTTGTTTGTATGCATGTAAGTGGTTTTCTTCTATTTGATTTTTTTACTTGAGTGGTTCCAGTCCTTTCTTTACTCCATCTTATCTGGACTATTAAAAACCTAAAAATTGTTTAGAAATAAATCTAAAGTGCAGAATTATTAAGCTTAATTAATCAATACTTACAAATTCTCTACACTTTATACAACATTGCCACATTAAATTATCAAAGGTAAATTATTATCTTTGATCCAAAACCATTTGCCAGAGAAAACATTATTTTTCTTGCTTTTTAGCTCGACTATTCGAAGAATATGAATGCTATTGTAGTAGCCCCGGCGTCGGCGTCGGCGTCAGCGTCCGCTTCGGCGTCTGTGTTGGTTAAAGTTTTTTGTAAAGTCAAATATCTGAATTATTGCTGAAGATATTCAATTGAAACTTACAATACTTATTTATAGAAACAAGGTTGACAAGTTGGATAACTCTGCCTACAATATTGACAAAAGTATGCCCCTTTTAACTTAGAAATTTTGGTTAAAGTTTTTTGTAAAGTCAGTAAAGTCAAATATCTCAATTATTGCTTGAGATATTCAATTGAAACTTACAATACTTATTTATAGTAATGATGTTAATCAGATTGACAAGTTGGATAACTCTACCTACTACAATATTGACAGAATTATGTCCCTTTTTAACTTAGAAATTTTGGTTAAAGTTTTTTTGTAAAGTCAAATATCTCAATTATTGCTTGAGATATTCAATTGAAAGCTACAATACTTTTTTAAAGTAACAATGTACATAAGTTTGCAAAATTGCATAACTCTGCCTGCAATATTTGCAGAATTATTTGCCCCTTTGAAACTTAGAAATTTTGGTTAAAGGTTAAAGGTATTCAAAGATATTTACTTGGAACTTTACACATGTACTTAGGGTCATAATTGGGGGGTCATTATTGTATGTCACTGACCAAGTTCCATAACTCTATCTTGCATTTAGGCTGATTAATCTCCCCTTTTCTACTTAGTCTCTTGGTTAATGTTTACATGCAAGTTTTACATATCTCAATAACAATTAAAGATATTTATTTAAAACTTCACATATATGCATTTAAAATCATAATTGTAGGTCACTGACCAAGATCCATAATTCTATCTTGCATTTAGGCTGATTTTTCTCCCCTTTTTATGCCACAGCAGCATCTGCGATGCGGTGGCATATATCGATTCACCTGTGTGTATGTGTGTGTATTTGTATGTTTGTGTGTTATATAGATTATATAGTGAACTTAAAAAATCTTTTCGTGAAAAACCATTAGACCAATTTCAACCAAACTTGGCAGGATTGATCCTTGGGTAAAGGGCTTCCAAAGTTGTTCAAAGAATTTCATTCCAATCAGAATCTGGTTGCCATGGCAACCAAAAGGAATTATAATAATAAATTTAAAATCTTCTTGTAAAGACCCAAAAGGCCTAGAGCTTAGATATTTTGCATAAGGCATTGTCTGGTAGACTCTTACCAAGATTGTTCATATTATAGCCCTAGGGTCAAAATCGGCCCCGCCCCGGGGGTCATTGATTTTCACTATATGTACATATAGTAAAAACTTTAAATACCTTTTTGTAGTTATTTTGCATAAGGCATTGTGTGGTAGACCTCTACCCAGATTGTTCAAATTATAGCACTGTGGTCAAAATTGGCCCCGCCCCGGAGGTCATTGGTTTTCCTTATATGTATATAGGAAAAAACTTATAGTAAAAAACTTTAAAAACATTTCTTCTAGCAATTGACAAATGCTAGAGGTTAGATATTTTGCATGAAACATTGTGTAGTGAACCTCTAGCAAGATTGTTCAAATTAAAGCCCTAGGGTCAAAATTGGTTCTGCCCCGGGGGTCATTGATTTGCAATATATACATATAGTAAAAAATAAAAAAATCTTATTGTCTGAAGGTACAAGGCTTAGATCTTTAATATTTGATAAATGATATCATCTATAGGTACTCTACCAAAGTTGTTCAAATTTTGCCTCTAGTGTCAAAATTAGTCCTGTCCCGGGGGCAATAAGTTTTCCTTATGTATATAGTAAAAACTTAAAAAATCATCTTCTCTAAATTTACAAAGGCTAGAGTTAAGATATTTTGCATGAAACATTGTGAAGTGAACCTCTACCAAGATTGTTCAAATTATAGCCCTGGGGTCAAAATTGGTTCCGCCCCGGGGGTCATTGATTTTCATTATGTTCATATAGTAAAAAATCAAAAAATCTTATTGTCTGAAGGTACAAGGCTTAGAGCTTTAATATTTGTTAAATGATATCATCTATAGGTACTCTACCAAAGTTGTTCAAATTTTGCCTCTAGTGTCAAAATTAGTCCTGTCCCGGGGGCAATAAGTTTTCCTTATGTATATAGTAAAAACTTAAAAAATCATCTTCTCTAAATTTACAAAGGCTAGAGTTAAGATATTTTGCATGAAACATTGTGAAGTGAACCTCTACCAAGATTGTTCAAATTATAGCCCTGGGGTCAAAATTGGTTCCGCCCCGGGGGTCATTGATTTTCATTATGTTCTTATAGAAAAAAAAATTGTCTGAAGGTTCAAGGCATAGAGCTGTGATGTTTGCTATATAATATCATCTATAGGTCCTCTACTAAAGTTGTTCAAATTTTTCCCCTGGTGTCAAAATTGGCCCTGCCCGGGGGCAGTGATTCTCATTATGTACACATAGTAAAAACAGAAAATAAAACAAATGTTTTCTGAATGGGAGAAAGCTAAAGCTTAGATATTTGACTTGAAATGTTTTTTGGTGGGCCTGTATCAAGATTGTTTTGAATTAAACCCTTGGGTCAACATTTTGCCTTGCCCAAGGGGAAAGTGACCTACTTTCTTGTTCTTTGATGTAGAGCAATGAAATTTTGACCATGTGCACAGTTTTAGTTGTAAAATTGAACTTTGATATCAGGTGACCTAGATTTTGATGATGTGACCTACTTGTCCTTTGATGTATAGCTATGAAATTAGAACAATGTGCACAGATTAAGATGTAAAGTGAATTTTGATATCAGCTGACCTAGATTTTGACAAAGTGTCTTACTGTGTTGTCTTTTGATGTAGTCATGAAATTTAGGTTGTGTGATGTTACTCTGATCTTTTATTGGATTAACAATAGATTTAACCACTAATCTGATAAAGAATTAGACAGGTCAGAGATCTATGCATTATGACAATCTTCAATTCGTCGCCCTAATTCCATAATGATGTAAGTCGTATTTTACCATTTTGAGAAAATCGACTTCAAAGTTTTAAAAGGCTATATCTTCACACTAACTCAACCAATTTTAATATAAAATATATCATAGTATGCAGAATTATTTTAACTTTTACACTTTTAATTACGAAGAAGTTCCTGTAGATAGTTTTTTTGAAAATCAAAATAAAAAAAATGAAAAATCACTGAAAAATAAATTTTATTGTCAAAAATACAAGAACCAGAATGCTGTATTCAGTTACAGCAATGTGACCCTAAAATATCATTACATTTAGGAGTTACAACAGTGTGAAATAACGACTTTTGAACTGTTTTATACTGAAATTATATTAAATTTAGAGGTAACTAGAAATTGAATTCTTTAACGAATAGTCTGAATCCACATTTATTTAGGCACCACAGAGCATGGAATGTGATCAGGATCAAAACAGTAAATTTAGTCTTAAAAGTCAATAATAGAAATCCAAACAATGCGGCGAAGTGTGAATAGCCACGAACAGGCAATTTAAGGTTGAAATAGATCTCGGGCTTCATTATCTTATCACCATTTACATGAAATAGTGAGCCTTGCAAATGAACAAAAAAATAAGATGTTACTGATTTTGTAAATGTATCACATTGAGGTAAACAAAACGAAAACAAAATTTAGAAACATCGTCCTTGTATTAATATTTACCACATAAAATAGCAAACTTTTTATCATATGATATGCTATTTTTACAATAAGACTGTACAATATAAAATATTTGGAATTCAGATTTACTTTTGGTTTCGTTTATTATATCATTAATTCATTCCAAATTCAATTCTGAATACCTGTAGCTTGCAGACAAACAGCATGTTGAACATAATTTGACTTACAAAACACACAAAAATGTTTGAAAGATGTAACTGCTTAAGCTTTGAAAAACAACATCAACAATGAGTTCCTTTCTCTGTAACATAAAAAAGAATAAACCTATGTATTTTACTTTTCTAAGAACAGCATTACTTGATGTTTTGTTTTGAAAAAAAAAGAAAAATATGAGACACAACTCAAAGCTCACAAATGTTCAAAGATGCTACAGATCTGGATACGGTGTTTCAATGAACTACTGTGCTTCAATTACTACATGTATTTATATATAAAGTGGCATACAACTTCTTTACATACAATAACAATTAAGTATACGTTTGCATTTAATGTTTTTATCTGAACTGTTAACATCAATAACTCATTCGTATAAAAACAATGCTCAATATCTAAGAGTTTCAGACAAATATTAATTCTATTTTACCTCAACAAACGTTTGATGAAACAAATATGACAATTTAAAGAGTTCTTAATGTTTTATATGGTCTTAAGACTTTGTAACATTTCTTCACAAAATCATTCTTTTTTACGTTTCAATCGAATGAAAATTTTTAACCACACATTTTTTTCTTTTTAAAAAATAGTTTTCGTAATGGATAATTTTCAGTTCAA